TTAAATTAATCAATCAAAATCAGTTCACACTACCTTTACTCTAAGACTTCTCCCTTGTCCTGGTGTCTCCTTATACGGATTACAAATCCCCTCCTCTTCCTCTGTCAAGTATCTCGGTCTCACACTAGATAAACGACTCACATGGGCTCAGCACATTAAAATTAAACGTTTGTCTCTAAATAGCCGTCTGCGGTTACTCAAATCATTAACCGTAAACAATAAATTTACAGATATTAATACAAAACTTCTTATTTATAAAACCCTTTTAAAACCCATATGGACTTACGGCCTTCAGCTATGGGGCAATGCTAAAAAATCCAATACCAATAAAATTCAATGCTTTCAAAATATTGTCTTAAGAAAATTAATCAATGCACCTCCTTATATCTCTAATTATACACTCCATAACGACCTTAACTTAAAAACAGTCCACGAAGAAGCTATCTCCTACTATAAAAGATTCCACATTAAACTACACTCCTACTCTAATCCATTTATAAAAAACCTCTCAACCTTGTCCATACCTGGAGAACCACCCAGACGTTTAAAACGTAAATGGTGCCGTGATCTTCTATCTAATAATATCAATTAATATTAATACATAATTAGATCAATGTAAATATAAGTTTAAAAATTAAAAAAAATCATTGAAAGTGACACTAATGAGTGGTTTCTTCCATCAAAATGTATTCATGTAATTTATCTCTACTTTTATCATATATGCTTATTGTGCTCATTTTACAGATTGTATATTTCTGATGTAAAAAAAAAAAAAAAAATATTGGGAATGATTTTAAAAATTAATCTAAAAATTAGATTATTTAAAAAAAATAAGTTTCATATCCTAACGCATGTTTGATATGTCATAACTATTGAAAATTATACCACCCTCCTACACATAAAAACTTTACAGTTGGTCCCACTTTAACCCAAATGGTGCAAAAATGGAACCAATTAAAAGTAGTATTATTACTCAATTATTGTACACTCCATTATAGACGAACCGACTACAGACAGCTTTGAAACCTATATTTTCATGTGTTAGAAAACGATTAACAAAAGGAACCACTTTTGGATTAATTTTCTTCGTACGTATCAGCCTTCAAGACCATACTGTGAGACATTTAAAAGCAATCTATTATATGTTTAATTATAAATTTCATTTAATAAACAACATTGCCATTTACGTCATACTTTAATAACACTATTTCAATATAGTTTGAATAACGTTTGTTAAATAATATATATTATATTCATTTGAATATATTTTAGTCACATAAGTTTCCGAATTTGAAAATTATAATTAATTTGAAAAAAAGTGTAATAAATTATCTATTTTCAATATTAGACACTTATTTGATATATCTTTACTATCGATTTGAATACCATCCACCCTACACAGGAAAAATGTATAGTTGGTCCCACTTAACTATGTTTAAGGGATACATACATTTTTAGGTGGAACAACGAAAAAAATAGTTGACCAAACTAAATTTTTCCTGAAACAACTTTTTATTTAGTTCTTTAGACAAGAAATTTATTGAACCCCTCTAAAAAACGTTCTTTAAGTTAGACCCAACTTTTAATATCTCAGTCAAAAATAGAAATGTATTATGCTCTTATGCATATTAACTATAATTTTAGTGTTTCTATCTTTGCATTTTTTTTGGTTTTCTTAAACACCTTAATTTATAGGTTAACATATATATTTAACAATTTTACTTGTTGTTATCGAAAAATATAAAGAATATTTAAATATTGGACAAAAATTTCATGCAACGTTTGAATGTTTTATCCGGCACATGTGTTTTTTAGAAATATGTACGTTCTGATATTTTCGAAATAACATTGCCTTTTGCGTCACACAGTTTCTATATAGTTTGAATAACATTTGTTAAATAATGTATATTATATTCAATTGAATATTTTTTTGACACATAAATTCCAAATTTAAAATTTGTAAATGATTTAAATTAATCAATCTGGAAAATTAGATTATTTTAGAATAAAATATGTCATATCCTAACGCATATTTGATATATCTTTACTATTAATATGTATACCATCCTTCTACACATAACAAATGTACAGTTGGTCCCACTTTAACTATGTTTACTGGAACAACTTTGTATTGAGTTCGTTCAAATAGAATCGTATTAAACCCCTATAATAATACTTCTTTTATAAGGACCAAATTTTTAATAACTCAGTCTAACTAGCATTGTATTGTGCCCTTATATTATTAACCACAGTTTTAGTTGGACCAACTTTGTATTTTATAGAGGCTATTTTATATCTCCTTAATTATTAGGTAAAAAATATATTGAACAATTTGACTTATTGTTATCGAAAAATACAAAGAATATTTTAAATATTTGACGAATATTTCATGCAACGTTTGAATATTTTATCCGGCACATGTGTTTTTTTAGAAAATGTACGTGCTGTTATTCTCGAAATAACATTACCATTTGAATTTTTATATAGTTTGAATAACGTTTGTTAAATAATGTATAAGATATTCAATTGAATATTTTTTTGACACATAAAATTCCAAATTTAAAAATTTTAAATAATTTAAATTAATCAATCTGGAAAAATTAGATTATTTTAGAATAAAATATGTCATATCCTAACGCATATTTAAATATATATATAAATATGTATACCATCCTTCTACACATAAAAACTTAACAGTTGGTCCCAATTTAACTATTTTATTTAGTTAATTTAAATAGAATCGTATTTAGCCCCTATAATAAGCCTTCTCTTATCGGGACCAAATTTTGAATAAATCAGTATAACTAGTAATGAATTGTGATCTTATATTAACCACAGCTTTAGTTAGACCAATTTTGTATTTTTTAGAGAATAACTTATTTCCTTAATTATTAGTTAAACAATATATTTAAGAATTTGACTTTTTGTTGTCGAAAAATATCAGGAATATTTTATAACTTATAATGTATTGTGACTTTATATTAACCAATGTTTTAAATGGACCATTTTTGTATTTTTTAGAGAATAACTTATTTCCTTAATTATTAGTTAAACAATATATTTAAGAATTTGACTTTTTGTTGTCGAAAAATATCAGGAATATTTTATAACTTATAATGTATTGTGACTTTATATTAACCAATGTTTTAAATGGACCATTTTTGTATTTTTATTAAACTAACTCATTTCCTTAATTATCAGGTTAAATAATATATTTAACAATTTTACTTATTGTTATCGACATTATCGGGAATATTTGAAATATTGGACTAAAATTTCATGCAACGTTGAATATTTTATCCGGCACATGTGTGTTTTTTTAAATAATGTAGGTTGTGTTATTTTCGAAAAAACATTGCCATTTGCGTCATACTTTAATAACACCGTTTCTATATGTTTTGAATAACGTTTGTTAAATAATGTATAACATATTCAAATGAATATTTTTTTTTGACTCATAAATTTCCAACTTTAAAAATGTTAAATGATTATAATTAATCAATCTGAAAATCAGAATTATTTTGGAAAAAAAAGTGTCATATCCTAAAGCATATTTGATATATCTACTATTAAAATTTATACCACCCTCCTACAAATAAAAAATTTACAGTTGGTCACACTTTAACTATGTTTACTGGAAAAACTTTTTAATTTAATTCTTTCAAATAGAATCATATTAAGCCCCTTTAATAAACCTTCTTTTATCGGGACCAAATTCTTAATAACACAGTCGTAACTAGTAATGAATGTGCTCTTATATTAACCACAGTTTTAGTTGGACCCACTTTGTATTTTTCAGAGACTAACTTATTTCTCTAACTAATAGGTTTTATAAAATAATTATTAATTTGACTTATTCTTATCCAAAAATATCAGAAATATTTAAAATATTGGACAAAAATTTCATGCAACGGTTGAATATTTTATCGGGCACAAGTGTTTTTTAGAAAAATATACGTTCTGTTATTTTCGAAATAACATTACCATTTGAGTCAACACAGTTTTTATATAGGTTGAATAACGTTTGTTAAATAATGTATATTATATTCAATAACATACAATATATATATATATTATATTATTGAAATATTTTAAATATTGGGCAATTTTTTTTTTAATGTTAACTGAAATTGTTTTTCACTATTATAATGTTTGCTCAATCTCACAGGTTTTTTAGAAACATGTATCGTTTTGTTTTTTTGCAAATAACACTGCCTTTTGCGTCATACTTTAATAAAACTGATACTATATAGTCTGAGTAAAACTTGCTACATAGTGTATATTATGTTCATTTAAACTTTTCACAGTACATTTTAAGATTGTGTATCGTAGTTTTCATTGTCTATCTTAGAAGTGTTCTTTAGTGCATTATGCAGAAATTAACTATTTGTATTATAGTTTTTATTATTATGGAAGTATCATTGGGTATGTCTTATTTGTATTTTTTTTACAATACATTCACAGGTTCAATACTTTAATCATCATAATTTTATGGATTCTAATGAAATGACAAATTGTATTTTAATTTAATTGCATGGAGAAATTATTTTCAATTAAAAATTATGTAAGCGAGTATGAATTTATATTGAAACCTATAATTGCTTTTTTTATATTTAGTCACTCAAGGTCGCCCATTTCCAGGTATGTTTATAAATTATGTACAGCTATACATTTTACATACACTTTTATACACGTTTCCTACTTAACTTGTACATTTTTACTAACCTATTGTATAATATAACCGTTTAGTAATATTTAATGTTCACCTAAAAGTAGATAACAGAGTACATTTCCTATACGTTTGTTTTTGGAGTATTTACACGGTACCAAAATTGAACAAAATAATTGATAAAAACAATGATTTATTTTTATTATGATGAAAAGTTAGAGACAAGGAAATACCAATACGTGTAAATTAGGATATCTAATCAACTATTATATAACTATACAAAACAATGTCATTTTTTTGTTATTATACAGTAATTTTATTTGTTGGTTAGGTGACAGATCGTCGGAACAGAAAACTGGTAATTTTACGTTGTTTTTTATTAATACAAACACCAAATACGAACAACCTTTTAGAGCACTCCCTCGCAAAACTTTTTGAAACTCATTCTGCTCGTCTGTTTCATCGACAAGAAGGTTTTTTGTCAGTAAATCAATTTTTAAAATTTTTTTTTTCTTTCATGTAAATTGATGATCTAATTTTTAGTTTTTTCCTTTAAACTTATTTTTAATCATCTTTTTATAGTATCTTTGGACATAACACAAAAAATTAATTTCTTAAAGTAAAATAATTGATCTTTTTTCGAGTAACAGAAAGTCATTAAATTGAGTTTATAATCTAAAAAGCGTGTTGCCAATTTTTGAGAATTTTTCTATGTAGAAAGCTAATAAAACTTTACAAGAAATGTGTGAGTTTTAAAGTAATAACTCCATAAAACGCTTAAAAAAAAGAGATGGAAATACATAGAAAATTGAAAAAACAGGGAAGAAATATAACAGTAATAAAAAAAGTTGAAATATTTATGTGTAAAATTAAGATATATTTGCGGTTTTTTAGATTAAAAACTCAATTAATAACATTCAAGTGAGTAAGTAAAATATAACGCTGGGAGTTTTTCAATCATTATATTTATGACAATAGATACAATACAAAATGATAATAAACAGAAGTAAATAAAAACTAAAAATAATTAATACGACTAAATTTCATCGTTATAGACATGCTGGGTAATTTTTAAATTATTGTGCGGGTGTTGGTTTCGAGTGGTCGGTCATACTTGGCGTTTGGCCCATATAGTTAATTTAGATTTCCACTTATTTCTCTACCTATATCTATTGGTAAAATATATATTTTCTTACACAAAGTCTAAAATATGGAAATTTTAATAGATTTTTAATAAGTAAAATTTAAAAAAATTGTTGAGATGAAAATGTTACTAGAAAGATAAGTCTACAAAATTCAATATGGGTTAAATTTATTTTATGTAGAAGCTGCACCAAAGTACTAAAAAATCGTATAAAACATGATACTTATTTAAACTCGATTAATATTTTTCTTTCTAAATACTATTATGTCAATTTAAAGTTAGCAAACATTAATTTGATGTGTATAATTTGTTGAATTATAGCCAACGATCCGCCGACAAAACGTTCTACAGGTATAGTATAGATTGTAGAGTTACCTAATGTGCACTTTCTGTATGATATTATTAAAAATTTAATTATTATTTTTGTATACCATTAGGTTAGTTATTTTTCTTATCATTGTAAGAATTCTTTTATTGTCTTCTATAGTATAGACAGTAGAGTTAGTAGTTGCCTAATGTGCAATTTCTTCATTACATTATAATATTTATTTATTATTTTTATAAACCATTAAGTTAGTTCTTTTTCTTAGCATTGTCCTTCTTTTTTCCCGTGATTTTCTTCGAACTATTTCTCTAAAAGTATTAATTCAAAACACCAGTGATACATGAGATGTGTTAAAATGTATCCCTCTTAACAGTTGTAGTAAATAGGACAGTGCCGCGGTCTAGCCGAGACATGATGCGCAGGAACACCTGCCGTAATGCACAGAGATGGCGCTCGCGTAGCAAGGCGGTCCGACCATCGTATGGGCAGACAGTTTTTTTAAGTATTATAAATAATAAAATTTCTTTATTAATCAGCTATAATTATGGATTAGTAGTTTAAAAGTTATTTGAAAAGGGTAGGATAGTAAAAGTTTTCTTAAAATTAGTAGAATACAGTAAAATGGCGTAACACATTCAACATTTGCGCGTCAGGTATACAGGAGCACAATTACAGAAATAGTTTTGGTCTCGGACCAAATGTTTAATTTTGTAAGTGGTATAAGATTAATGGCAAATTGAATTTACGAGACCGACACGGCCGAATACAGTGATTGCTTAGAGCGTCAAAACACAGAAGGATCTTGTTCAGTGGTAAGATAATTTCTTCTATTTTCTTTTTCTTATATCTGAACTCCGTCGACAATTCGAACAACGATTGGATGCAAAATCATCTAGTAAATTAACTTAATAAATAATAAAACAAAGTAAACTCGTAAACCCGGTACTAACGTACGCAGTATTGGTTTAACCTCTGCACAACTGTACTCGGGGGATTTTTATTATCTGATGAATTGCGTTACACTGCTCGTATACGACAGAGCGCAGTAATCATCAGAGTCTGTTATCAGTGATTCGCACGAGAACATTTACTGAATAGTTAGGTAAGGTGCATGTACTCGGCTTGACACGCTTGTCCTAAAACATAACTGTTGATAAAAACCTTTCATTAGTATATATTTAATAAATAATCAAATATTGTGAAGACATTAAGTATGACAATATTGTACATTTCCTTTTGTATTAGTTATTAGTAAAACAACAAAGTGTATAGTAATATCAATGTGACTTATTTATTGTAATGTAAATAAAAATATCTACCTACATTTATAAATCAAAAACCTTTTTGTATTCTTATTATTAGTATTATTGAAATTGTTTTTTACACAGTTTTAAAATCGTGTAAAATATGTTATATTGAAAGCTATTATTTTCTTAAATATTCACTATTAAAAATGTTTTACTGCTTAAAGTTCTTAAAACAATAAAACATTTTTGTTTTGTTTTTAGGCTTGCTAAAGAAGATGCATTCATTCAGTAGTATGTCTTTTTCATCGCTTATTACTTTGTTTTATTTAATTTTGTTTGCACAATTGAAATATGGTACCAACAATATTCACGACAAAAGCTAATTTATCTTGGACGTCTTATATATCTTGTTCATTTAATTTGAAATATTTTGATTATTAATAGTTCTTTAATCGAATATCTTTGGAACAAGTTAAGCATGTTGTATACACTTTAGTATAAATTATATTATGATAAAACACATAATATTTTATGGTCATGTACATTGTGCAATATTTCGAACTTGACAAATAATTAACATCTTTTAACGGAACCCTGATTTGAAAAAGTGACAGACCTTTACTTTAAACTAGTTTAGTGTGGTGTTATCGTGAACAAGTTATGTACCGAGGAATAAAGGTTAAAATAGTTATGCAACTTCGATTAGATTACATGATTTTGTGCTCATTTAAGAATGCACACTAATTAATTTGTATTCATAATCTTCGTGATTTTTTGAAATATCTAATATTTTATTTACAAGGTTGTGGTGGTGGCGGAACCTCGGATGAGGCAAGTAGTTCAAAACCAACAAAAGGTAATAGTTACTTATTTTTAAAAGATAACTTGTTTTTATTAAAAGAGTAAACATTATTAATTTGGAAATTCCCTTATAAAGTCTTGTAACATAAAATAGCATCGTTTAGCATTCGATATAGTTCACTATATTTTGGTCGTGATTGAAACTCGAAAATGCAGTTTCCGTTCGCACTATAAAAACGATTGCGTTTCTGAGCATCTCTTATTTACGTTTCAGTTCAGTTAGTCGAATTTACAAATGTTCCTTTTTCATATTACGAAAATTATTATTTTCTTTTAAGGGAATTACTTGACCGCGTCGTGGAAACGTTACCTCGCTCACTGCCGTAATAAAACTCGTCCTCTAATATTACCGTTTCAATTATAATATTATTATTGTCCTTATATATTAAAATATTATATTTTGTTATTCATTTTCATATATAATATTACTTTCATATAATAACGTTTTTTATCGTGTTTAGATCCTAAGAGCAATCCAAATAATATAATCAGTGTTAACATCGCTAATTTTAAAGTAAGCTAACCTATTGATAATACATACGTATATATATATATATATAAATATAGTTTTAATATTATACAATATTATTCCTTAGGTTAATCCGGAAAAAATTCTTGTAACGCCGAATGACTTAGGTAACATTATAAAAGTTAATTCTATTAGAGCTATGAATAATTTTTTTTTTTTTTTTTTTGACAGAAACGATTGAATGACAACAATCCAAATTACAGAGATATATTCAGTTAAAAATACAGCTTTAAAATAAATAAACAAAATTATATTGTGTAAACTATTAGTAAACCAAACCATATATTTCACGAATTCATAATAAATTTCTACTATCTGGCAAATTTAAAATATCTTGTTTTAACACATGTTTTCAAACTTGGTTACTATATTTTCACCCGATTTTGTTGTTGTAACTTTGTTTAAGTACAATTTGTATATGTTTCTTCTATCGTTATAGCCTGTAACAACATTTTGCATAATCTCAAAGAGGGTTGTCTAGATAATACGACGGATTAAAATATAATATAATAACTGTTATTGGTTAAGGCGCTTTGAATGTGGCATATTATCTTCGATAGTTGATTTGGTTTGAAAACACAGCACGTAGTATGATCTTAAAAAAAAAGCAGCATGTACAATAGAAAGTCTGCATATTTCTTAGTAAATTGATTTCAAAAAAACAGTGTCTTCTTCAAAATTAAAAAAATTAAGGTAATAGACCAATTATTTCAAAACAATAATTTAAAAAATATTAAGGATACTTAGGAATTAGGACTAATAACCATTGCAGAAAAATTAAGAATTAATAGTAATAAAATGCATAAAGGTCATATTTCAGCCGAGAGAACATTTTCATATCTCGTTCGAAGAACCGAATAAATTTAGAGTAGTAGTGGAATTATAGATAACAATAGAGTATATTAAGAAGCAGTAACAAGCTAGTATATTAAAACATCAAGTTTCTGGCTAATATTTTAGTGTTTAATGTCTGGCTTATAACAATTCATAGTATAATGCAATTTTACGTCATGACGAAGAATTGCATCATTTTATAATAGAAGGTGCAATTGAAGGACGTAAACCACCAGAAAGACCAAGAAACTCGTACATATCTCAACTGAAAAATGACGCAGGGATTGATACTTACGCCGGATTAAAAAGACTTTCTGAAGATCGTGATAAATGGAGAGGTTGAAAAAAAAAAAAAAAAAACAATTCATAAATAATTTGGACCCTTAAACTATTTTGAATTCATCATTTAGTTTAAGGTGATTAATAAAGTCTCAAAAAAACAAAGATCTTTCAACTAAATGTATGGTTAATATGTATAAGGGCACAATACATTTCTATTTTAGACTAAGCTATTAAAAAGTTGGCCTAAATTAAAGTGCGCTTATTATAGGGGCTCCAAAAATATCTAGTCGAAAGAACTAAATAAGAAGTTGTTCTAGTAAACATTTAGTTGGGTTAACTATTTATTTAGTTGTTCCCATTGGCGGATATCCGCGGGGCTTAGCACCCCTCCCTGATAACTGCTAAGCCCCCCAAAAATTGTTTTCCAAATTATAGAAATATTGTACAGTTCAATTGAACGTTTTTATTACATATATATACATATATATATATTGTACAGTTCACTTATGCAAATGGCAATGTTATTTATTAAATAACAGAACGTACATGTTTCTAAAAAAATACATGTGCCGCATGAAATTCAAACACTGTTTCTATATAATTTGAAAATCATTTGTCAAATAATGTATATTATATTCATTTGAATATTTATTTGACATAAAAGTTTCCAAATTAAGTAATTGTAAAAGCTTTTAACAAGGAAAACTAAAAAATTTATTTATTTTAAGAAAGAAAAGTTTCTTATCTTAAATGAAATATCTCTATATAACATGAAACATATATTTGATATACTTATACCACCCTCCTATTGAATTTTATACCACCCTCCTACACAGCTAATTGATTCCGGTTCGATGTCGCCAAGAAAGTAATGGAGATCCCGCCTTTTAAAGATTTGGCTCAAAAACAACAAATCAAACATTTGCTAATAAATATAACAATGTGGCATTATCAAATTCATAAATTTGTGTCAAAAATTATTTAAACTGCAATAAAAAAAATTTGTAATTAAACCATTGCAATTGTTATGTATTAAAAGAGCAGTAGAGGTCTGGTCAACGGTTTTAAATAATACGGTGATGTTTTGTTTTGTTTTATTATTACATTTTAGTTAAACATATATAATATACTAGCTGCGTTACCAGACTTTGCTCCGGTAAAAATATAAAATTTTTAATTAACAGTTAATAGAAGTGAGTAGGATTAAAAAAAAAACATTATTTTGTTAATTTTATTACCACAATTTGTTTTTGATCTGAGAACGAATATTAGATTTTTAGAATTAAACGACACTCTCATTATACATGAGTGTTAGGCGTTAAAATTTTTTTAAAAAATACTATAACATTCTGGAAGAGTAAGCGTACCTCTATTAAAAAATAAAGGGTAAAAAATACTCCAAGAACGTTCTAGGATTTTCCGGGACTTTTTCGAAAATTCCTGAACTCTGTAAAAATATTCGGTACATTCTCGAAGAGTCATCTCACGAAATCTCACTGGCCAAGAGGCCATAGAGGGACAACGTTCTGACTGACCACTGGATATGACAAAGTAAGTGAGAAGAGTAAAGAGAGTCTGTTAGTGGCTATTGCGACCGGATGACCGTCTTATATTATGCGTCCCCTAGCAATATTTCTGTTCACTGGTTGTTGTAGAAACGGGGAGGGGATGAGACAAAAGTCATATGAATGGAAATTGTAGCTTGCTCAGTAAATATGCCTTTAGTTTTATTGAATAAAAATGTAATGTTATAATGGTATAATTCATTAAAATATATTATTCTATGCATGCAGTTTTATATAGTAATTAAGATAAATACATTCGGTATTTAAATATTACATTAGAATATTTTTAATATTGGACAATTATTATATTTTTAACGCTAACCAAAACTGTTTATTACTAACGTAATGTTTGCGCCATCTCACAGGTTATTTGGAAACATGTATCGTTTTGTTTTTTTGGAAAATAACATTGTCTTTATATAGTGTACATATAAAAACATTGCCATTTGAGTCATACTTTAAAAACACTGTTTCTAAATAGTATGAATAATGTTTGTTAAATAATGTATATTATACTCAAATGAATATTTGTTTGACTCATAAAGTTCCAAATTTAAAAATGTTAAACGATTTTAATTAATCAATCTAATAATTAGAATTATTTTTGAAAAAAAAGTATCACATCCTTACGCATATTTGATATATCATTACTATTAATATGTATACCAACCTCCTACACTTAACAATTTTACAGTTGGTCCCACTTTAACTACGTTTACAGGAACAACTTTTTATTTAGTTCTTTCAAATAGAATCATATTAAGCCCCTATAATAAGCCTTCTTTTATCAGGAACAAATTTTTAATAACTCAGTCTAAATAGCATTGTATTGTGCCCTTATATTATTAACCACAGTTTTAGTTGGACCGTTTTTGTATTTTATAGAGACTCACTTATTTCCTTAATTATTAGGTCAAACAATATATTTAACAGTTTGACTTATTGTTATCGAAAAATATAAAGAATATTTAAAATATTAGACAAAAATTTCATGCAATGTTTGAATGTTTTATCCGGCACATGTGTTTTTTAGAAAAATGTACGGTATGTTATTGTCGAAATATCATTACCATTTGAGTCATACTTTAAAAACACCATTTCTATTTAGTTTGAATAACGGTTAATAAATAAAGTATATTTTATCCAGTTGAATATTTTTTTGACTCTTATAATTCTAAATTAAAAAATTGTAAATGATCTTAAAAAATTAATCTAAAAAACAGAATTTTTTTAGAAAAAAAAGTTTCATATCCTAACGCATATTTGACATATCTTAACTATTAAAATGTATACCACCCTCCTACACATAAAAACTTTACAGTTGGTCCCACTTTAACTATGTTTACTATAGAGACACAAAAATATCCAGGTGGAACATCTTAATAAAAAATTGGCCCAACTAAATGTTTACTGGAACAACTTTTTATTTAGTTCTTTTAAATAGAATCGTATTAAGCTCCTATAATAAGCCTTCTTTTATCGGGACCAAATTTTTGATAACTCAGTCTAACTAGCATTGTATTGTGCCCAAATATTAACCTCAGCTTTAGCTGGACCAACTTTGTATTTTTTAGAGGGTAACTTATTTCCTTAATTATTAGGTCAAACAATATATTTAACAGTTTGACTTGTTGTTATCGAAAACTATAAGTAATATTTTAAATAATAGACATACATTTCATGCAACGTTTGAATTTTTTATCCGGTACATGTGTTTTTTTTTTAAATAATGTAGGTTGTGTTTTTTTCGAAAAAACATTGCCATTTGCGTCATACTTTAATAACACCGTTTCTATATGGTTTGAATAACGTTTTTACATAATGTATAAGATATTCAAATGAATATTTTTTTGACTCATAAGATTCCGTATTTAAAAATTGAGAATGATTTTAAAAAAGCAATCTAAAAATTAGATTATTATAGAATAAAATATCATATCTTAACGCACACCTATTTGATATATCTTTGCTATTAATATGTATACCACCTTCCTACAAACAAAAACTTTACAGTTGGTCCACTTTAACTATGTTTACTATAGAGACATACAAATATCCAGGTGGAACAACTAAATTAGAGTTGCCCTACTAAATGTTTACAGGAACAACTTTTTATTAAATTCATTCAAATAGAGTCATATTAAGCCCCTCTAATAAGCTTTCTTTTATCGGCACCAAATTTTGAATAACTCAGTATAACTAGTAATGTATTGTAATGACCTTATATTAACCACAGTTTTAGATAGATCAATTTTGTATTTTGTAGTGACTAACTTATCTCCTTATTTATTGGGTTAAAAAATATATTGAACAATTTGACTTATTGTTATCGAAAATAATCAGGAATATTTGAAATATTGGACAAAAATGTCATGCAACGTTTGAATATTTTTTCGGGCATATGTGTTTTTTTTAATTTCTCAATTGAAATTGATAATGAAATGTACGTGTTACCATTTAGAACTCGAAAATGTCTATTAAAAAAAAACTTGTTAAGGGGGGGTAAAATCAATTGTGAAAAGTTTTTAGCCGAGTCTGCCACCACGAAAGAGCATTTACATGTCTCGTTGAAATACCGAGATAAATTTAGAGTAGTGG